CCCCCCCCCCCTCTCCTTTCAACTCACCGGCTAAAGGATCCAGGAAGCATGTGTCTTTGGTGGCTTGTTCCTTCCCCTCGAAGGTGGGATTGTCTATGCCCACCTTGGGGTTCTGTGCCAGCTTCTTGAGCCGTAGTGAAGCGTTGGGGTCGATCTCATGCTTCCCCCTGCTTTCCTCCTCCCTCCTCTTCCTCAGCTCCTCCTGGTAGTGCTGGATCCTCTCCATGTGGGCGCTGCAGCGGGGAGATTTGACGATGCTGCTCTCCTCCGCCGGACAGTCCACGGCCCTCTCCCTGTGGCTCATGGCCTGACCAGAGGCCTCTTGCACATAACCGTTCATATGGGAGGTGATCATCCCAGCAGCTCAAACCAGCCCGGAGTTTACTGAGGTCTGCCCAGGTGATCCGAAGCACTGCTCGATACAGAGGCCATAGCACGCCAGCGGAGGATGATCTTTCTGTGATCTGTCATCCTGAAATAAACAAAGAAGGAGTTCAAATAGATTTCCTTTTTTTTTAAATGTTCATTTACTCTTACTCTAAAAAAATAGGTATCTCTAAAAATTCTGCACTTTTTTTAATAAGCAACATTTAGAAAAAGATAAAAAGACTACATTTTTTTGGTCCGTTGTATTTATTGCATTCTTAGAAAACTATAAACCGAATATGCACCAGTTTGGCGATTGACGATCCTGAAGAGACTGCAGAACTCTGGGGCCTTGGTGACCAACACAATCTTTTTAAACTGTGCCACGGAGGTTATGTTTTTGGTTCAAATTGTTTGTCCGTCTGTCTTTTTTGCGGCAGGATTACTGAAACCCTACTGGCCCACTTTTCAGGAAATGCAGTGCAGCTCAGGGAAGGAAGCCAAGGACGAAGTCATTGCGTGTGGGAGCGGATTACCCCTGGGGCAGACTTCTGTTTTCTGATTGCCATTTTAGTTTTTATACACTTTAAAAAAGGCAGTGAAGGGTTAATCTGGCTTTATTTTAATTTTATGAGGTTTATTCATTTTTTTATCTATAAAAGTCTATCAGAGAAAAATCCTCATTATTATGACTAAAGCTCCATTCTCTTAATATTTTTGACAGTGTAAATGTATTATTATATAGAGTTTGTTTAAAAGAACAAGTCCTACTTACTTTGTTATACTTGGTTTTTGTCTCTGGCTGTTGATCAAGGCCAACATTTACTCCTAATCTTCTGATCTATCGCACGGCTAATCTTACTCGTACATGGAAAGCTCTCTGGCCTTCGTCACCTGAAATCCCTTCAGTTCAGCATCATGCAGCCACTCGCTCGGGTACACCTGTCCCCGACGGTTCCATCCTCATGAACAGCTTAATCAAAGTCCGAAGCCAACGCCCGGATGCCCGGATAAAGATCCTGTGTTCTAATTTGAAGCCTGACATACAATTACTACTACCGGATCTCCTATCATTGTTACGCAGATGGATTATAATCTATTTTAAGGTTTAAGGTGCAGAAGCAAATGAAGTATGACTGGAAGAGTTTACTTGGAGCTTATGTTTATTCAGTCAGTGGGAAAAGACAGAAAATCCTGTTGCAAGAACAATCATTAAGTAAGGAGATATTAGCTTATGGTATGCAGGGGTTTAGGTAAGGCTCCCTTTCTCTGGACCATTTATTTCTTAAAAAAATACACACCTGTATGCATATTTCCTGGAACCTCAATTGTGAAAAATAATAATAACTTCTGAACATTTAGAGACACTTTTCTGAGTGCATGGGGGAAAATCTGCACGCATGGAAAGGATAAACAATGGCTGGACCAATCCATGTCATACAGTCAGTCATAGACACAAGTCACCTGTTACCTCATGGCAGCCCTCCCCCTCTTCTACCTACTTCCCATAGCTAATTACATTTGGCAGATCTATCCCCCGGCCCTTGGAAGAAGCTCCCAAACCCCTCCCCTGCACAAGCATTTAGCTCTGTTTAGAGCGGCGGAGTATGGCCGACAAATAGGAGACTGCCAGCGGGCCATCTGTTCCTGTGGGCTTAATTAAGCCTGGATCTCATGCCCTACTCAGCTCAGTGGCCACCACAGTACTGGGAGGGATGCTGGGAATAACAGGGGGGAACTGGGTACAAGATGGAGAATGAATGGAAGTGCACAGACCAACCTAGACACGGCAATATGAACATTTTGGTGTGAGATAGGTATATGGTACAAGTTTTCAGCCACTGCAAGACTCCAGAGATGAGTCAAATTGATGCAAATTAGCTAAACGTGTCATGTGATGTAAAATCAGAGAGCAACAGTTAAGGTCAAATCCAGAAAGCTGCAAACTGATCAGTCTGAGGTTACATTGGAAGGCCAAACATATTAAATACAAACTAAAATAATACAGCCACAAACTAAGAAAACATAAAGTATATCTGTGAAGTTCAAGCATTTACAATAGAGTATAAGACTATAATTACATAGGCATGTCCTAAACTGGAAAACTTCTTAAAACTATTGTATAAAGACTATATACAAGCCAATCCTTCTACTATAGGAATACAGATTAAGATGTACTGTCCCAGATGGAGACTTGATTTAGCAACCAGTACAACACAGACACAAGATATACAAGACATACTTTATTTTATGAATTACTGCTATTTCTTGGGATATCCACCCCTTTTTGTCATGACAACAGCATAAATGTAGACTACTCTTTAATCCTTAAACAGAGTAAATAGATCCAAATTCCTCTCAGTGAGTTATTGATTTTAGAATAAGGTCAAAAAGGTATTTGTATAAATGTTAATCAGTTACAGCTCTCAAAGAAGTAGTCTTTTGTTAGTGCTACTACAATTTGTCCACATAATAGTACGTTTATCACTGAGAGTCAGCTGAGTTTCTGTTGGTTAACCGCCCCCACCATCAGATATATCTCTGGCTAAAATTAGCTACATGCAAACACATCCTGAGGGTGAAACCAGAAAACATGTTCATACATTAATCATAGCTCTCTGTGCTTTAAAACTAGCGGCTGCTGGCTTGGCTTGAGGTAACGGTAAATAAAGATGTTTCAATGAGTCACCAAAGGCATTACAGAGTCTTTGTGTAGAAGTAATTATCGGTTTCTTGGTACATCACAACATAGCCATGATGATGCTGCACATTCATACACACCAGCAAAAACAGATTTAAAAACACCTTGTTGCTATTTTACTGCAAAATACTCGACTTATATTAACAACGGCAATCAGGATAACTGTTAGCTTAGCATCCGGGTACCGCTAACTGCGTAGCTTAACGGTAAAGTTAGCTGTCCCGTAACAGACTTACCACTTTACAGACAGCAAGTTGAGTGGCTTTAAGCACGAAGCAGCTACTCCTTTATAGTCCAAAGCTCTGGGAATGTTTTATTCACACAGATGCGGTGAAGTGTCCCCCGGTGCTCTCAGCTCCGCGCTCAGCCACAGTGAGTTTAGTCCGGGTTCAGTCGGGACACTTGTGGCCATCGCTGTGGAACTGCTGTTTTGCGTCGTCTCCCTGGCAACACTGCGGCTCCACAGCACCCCCCTCAGCCAGACACGGAATTACCTCACCTCCCCAAAAAGTGGGCTGCTCCAATACATTCCCTTTTTTACATTTAATTAGCTTTTAACCAAGGCGACTTACAATAAGTGCAATAAACAATATAACTCAGAACAAGAAACATACAGGTTTATTCGCTTAAAGAAAGCCAAAACCACTGATTTGTTTTCATGGGCTAAACCCTTTGAGTGCTACATTTTGTATTGCTCTCAACAGAAACCAATGCCTTTTGCAGGTGAAACATGCTTAACATATTATTCTTCACAACTGTAAACAACAGATACACTAAACATGTTTTATACAGTGATGAAATGTAACAATTAGTCAGATGCTATTTTGACACACTTGTATTATTCCTGCTGTGTAATGCATGTAGCCAACAATGATCATCCTGCATTTCTTATGAAACCACAAAATGCTTGGAAGATCTCTTGTTACCCTGTCAGTAATAACACACATGCATGTTGCCATTGAGAGTATAACACATTCACTGTTATTTTCAACAATCGTCTTCACACTGATCCCCTAACATCCCATCAATTTCATACACATTCACATAGATTAATTCAACTAAGTTCATGTCACAGCATTAATCATCAGCAACTAATGGGATCTACTGTCATTCTACCTGGCAGAGCAGAACAGAAATGGTCTAATCTCATACAGCCACAGAAATATCTACACCAAAGCCTGAGGCTGCCTTTTCCTGCTGTATTTTCTATTAGGTTAATCCCTTTTGACACTTCTGTGCTTAACCTCTCTTCCTCATTAGGATAACTCCTGCCAGTTCCCGATTCTTAAATACTTACCTTCCTAGAAAGAAAGACAGCTAAAATCCCCTTTGCTTTGCAGCGCTTCATTCAAATGCAGCTGTTTTTTCCTTGTTCGTCTAAGAAGCTTTGGTGGAAAGTACCCACTGCACACATTTCCATTCATTTTGGGACTTTTGTTCATCTTAACTTGTCAAATATATTCTTTTTTTAACTCTGAAGGACTCAAACAGTCATTTCAATTAAACCAAAAGAGAATTCTAGAAATGAAATAGGTCTTTGGTAGAGCTGTTAACAACTCAAAGAGAACAACCCAAAACAGGACAAGGAACCAAACCTGACCCTGCTTTTTTGTAAAAAGTCAAGAAAAATAAAATTCCCTTTTAAATAAATGTGGTGGAGTAGAAAGTACACAATTTCCCTTCGAAAAATAAACAACTAGAGATATAATGTTGCATAAAATGGAAATATTCATGTCAAGTACCTCAACATTTTATGTATAGAATACAAACTATAGTGCAGTAGTTACAGTAGTTTCTTTCCACCAATGCAAAGGAGGGAAAACGTTCATATTAATGCAGTTAAGCACATTCCCATTGGGAACTGACTCCACATGGACCGGTGGGTAAGGAAAGTAAGACCATTGCTCATTCATTCATAATTCACGGACTTTCTTTAACCTCAGGCTATCAAACTTAGTACCAAAGAAGAAAATCACTATTTTTTTCTTTCGATATATTTTATTAAAAAAGGAAAACCAACAAGAACTTTTTTACATAATGATCAAGGATTTTTATTATCTTAGTCTCTTTCATCAGTTTCATATCATTACAGAAAATGTTATAGTACAGCGTTGTTCAATGTCTCCTCATTGCTTAATAATTTCCGTAGGAGTGCTGGTCACATATATCTGTACAATATGGTTCTCTTTTTTTCTGTACATTTTTTGTGAAGTTGGTTAAAAAGGCTGTCAGCACTTAAAGAAGCTGTTTCTTTTCTTTCATTTTTTATTCTTAAATATTTGATCAAATAAAAGATTATTTTTCCCAGGTTAAGCCTGCCCCTGGGGGGGGTTAGGGCAGGGTTTACACCCGGTCACCGTGAATATAAGGAAGCTTCAGGGTCTGGGCAGACTGGGGTGTGCCCCCCCCCACCTCCCCATCCCAACATCACCTCTTCCCTGCCCAGGCATTTGGCACTGCGCACATAAACAAGACTCACAAGATAAACAACAAGCAAAGCTCTTTGTGAAGCCAATATGATGCATACTAATGAGAGAAAAACAGAAGTGTCACCTTGATAGGCGCTCAAAAGAGGAAGTGGTCTTGATGTGCCCCCTCTTCCTTGTAGCTGAGCACCGTGGGAAATCTGGAGTCTTCCTCAATGTTTTCGTCATTTTCAAAAAACAGATTATTTTTTTCCACTAAAGATGAGAAAATAATAATTTTCTTTTTTTGTCCTGGCAGGCACCTACAGCTGTCTATTAAAATGCTACTGCTATAGATAAGGTCTAGCATTGAACACACAAAGCAATTGCAATGAAAGGAACGAAGTTGCCTTAATATAATAATGATAATAAGAAGAATAATGATAATAATAATAAGAATAATCATAATAATATATTACAGAATAAATCTCTTTTTATAATTAGATTTTTTCATTAAAAGTTATATTTTCTTTGTTTGAAATACTATAATCTTTTTTAAATTAATTTTTTCATATGTATCTAGGTTGTGATCAAGATGTTGACTATACCTCAACGTTATCCAAATCAATAAAAACTAGCTGTGCCGTTGCATATTACAGAATAGTCAATGATATGTGGACATGCACCGTGAACCACCCATTCCAACCCTCGCTATATAACGCCGACGCTCCGTCCCTCTGTGATGACATCATAGCCGGCCGATGACCATGACGTCAACCACCTCGCCCTTGTGCAGCTCCACGTATTGCTCTGTTTTTGGAGGTAGCATCAGGAGCCCGTTAGCACTGCGCATGCTCATCAGCCTGCTGCTCACCTGGTTCCCTGTAGCAGAGAGACAACAGAAGACTTTATAGCAGGACCCATAAAATACATTTGTATTTTTGTGTTTAATCCCATCATACTGACATGTTTAATATGGTCACACATTTGATCAAGTTTTGCAGTTTGACAGTTTCTCCATCCGTCAATGTATAACTGTAAACATAAAGAAACTACCAAGGCCAAGTGCTGTAATCTGTAAATGCAGGAAACCTAAGGTGTAAGTGGTATAAACAAATACTTACAGTGTCTATATACATTTTTATTATTTCTGTCCCAAAGAACACTCTGAAGTTGCATCGGTCATTATAACTAAAGTTAGAACTTTTAACATAACTTTTCATACAAACAAAATCCCCAAAATACACAACATATTTGCATGGAAAAAAACTTGAGGCTCGTGTAATGAAGAAACTACAGTTCAGTGAATGTATTCTTTGTAATATTGAGTATTTTTGGGACTTATAGTTAACAAAACGGGAAATAGAAAGCCTTGCTTAATATAAGGTGTTCTTCAAGCTAGGCATTGGTCAGTTATTGCCTGTTGGTTTGTATATTTACCTAAATTAGGAATGCCTTAGTTTTCTTTCCATAGTTGTATGCACCACCCCATATTAAGAATTCCTGTTTCCCATAACTAACTAAAGAGTACCTGTCCGATCAGCCATCAGAACCACATATTTCATCCAGCTAACAGTTTTATTTTTTATTATTCTAACCTTGGATTGCTTGCTTGGCACAAAGCGCTAGATTAACAGTTATGCAACCAAGTTAGTGAACCGTATAAGCCTGATCCAGAACCAGAAGTGAGGCGTTCCAACATAATTGGTACCTGCTGTGGTTGAGGTACCTGTGCTCTGTGCCCACGGCAGAGGCTCCTGGTGATGCCATGTCAGAATGCAGCGGTGGTATTCAGGGCGAGGGTCTAACTTCACATCACAAGACAACTAGAGAGAAAACAAACAACGTAAATTATAATGATGCATGTCAACAAGTCATATTCATCCCCGTCGGTACTGTCTGTAATTGAAATAAATGTAATGTAGTGTAGAAATGTATACTACATTTTCTTTTCAGTACCTACTTTTTGATTGTTGTGTTTTATTTGCTTTAATTACTGTATGCTAATTTTATCGAATCCAGTAGTAGCAGTGACAACTCTCCCAACTTATTTGGCAAAGGTAAAGGTTTTTTCTGGATTACTATTCAATTTGGGTATGATGCCATCAGCTGAGGGAAAGGATCTGGCTACATCTGTGCTTCCAGGCCATCGCTCCCCCCACTAAGTGGCAGTAATGCATTCAAGTTGATTTCTAACTGCTTTATAACAGCAAATGATGTAGCACAGCTCTCTGGACAGCACCCATGATGGCAGGGAACCAGACCTCTCACTTGATGACGCTAGTTTGGGACACAAGCTGTGGCTGTTCAGTTTGTCTGATATTATTAGTTTCTTTCTTTACACTTATGCATATTCATGACCAGGGAGCAGGCCTTTAGGTCAGTGCGAGGCGTGTTTAGTTCCTTCAGTCGTCATAAATATGTATCAAGCGGTTGATGAAATTAGTATCAAATCATGAGTCAGGATGCAGTGTACTGGAATGATTCACCCTGAAACCTTAGTGCACATATAATTGTAATGTTCCCATATTTAATGTTTCCTCTCTGTTGCAGGTTGTTCCTTTCTTGACCGTTGTTCATGTTTCATGGTTAAACAGAAAACCCTCTTCTTCCACCAGCAGTGCCTCAACAGATGGTGAACTTTGACATTTTGTGTCTCGGCCAGAGAGCCAGGCTTCCCTGGTTTCCCTGTGCATCCTACCCTCGCTTTGATGATGGTTGGCCTAGGGTCCAAAATGCCCTGCATCTTCCTCAAGGCAGGGATGACAAAAAGATTACAGGTGACAACAGCGGACACGGGGTTTCCTAGGACGAACGGACGGACAGAGAGAGGACGCAACAGGAGAGAAGAGGGAGAGAAATATATGAGTGACACCTCTTCAGAAACAGTGGACTGAATCTCTCTTTCTCTCAACTTCACACACTACCTGGGAGGGCAAAGATTAGTTTGCGAGCACCGTCCATGTCCATGGTGGCAAATGTTGTTGGTAAACTGAAAAAGAAAAAGAAACATGTGATTTTTTATTTAAACCATTATAATAAATCTTGAATCTCACATTGTTTAACTTGAAAAATTACAACTTCATTTTTAAATATTAACATGTTTTGATTCCAGTGCTGTAAAAATCTACATCTGAAATGTCAATTTGAATTCCCTGTTAAGCATGTGATAACTGTTGTGCTGCATGAGTATAACGTTTATTTAATTTCCTTACCCTGGTTTCATGAAAACACGACCAAAATGGATCTGAGCATGTAGATCAATATCCAGCACCTGCTTAAGATAGTCCTAAAAGGAAATTGAAAATACAAATGTTTAACAACACAAAAGAGCCATACATAAAAACATGGGGGAAAAAATTATCTAAAATTATTTGTGGATACTGGATATTAACATAATCAAGTAGATACAAATTAAGTTACATACAATGGGAGTGTATTATTGTTACCGTATCAATCTCATAAATAAGTCAACCCAGTCAACCCAAGAAAATATATTTTAGTTTTGGTTGTTTTTTACAATTTGAAATAAAGGCTGTTGTTTCCCCCTCTCACCACAAGGTGTCAGTAAAAGACAGCGTCATGATAAAATATTTGCAGTGCCATCACACCTTCTCTCCCATGGACACTCCGCCTGAGGTGATGATGACATCAGCACGGCTGATGCCTTCATTCAGAGCGTTGAGAAGGTCATCGGGGCTGCAAAAACACACACACACACACACACACACACACACACACACACACACACACACACACACACACACACACACACACACACACACACACACTTATGCTAACAGCCAAATATAGAACTAGTTGTGGACGACGTATAGGAGACTGATGAACACTATAATAACAAGTGTAGTAGGAACATGAAGGCGTACTTGTCTCCCACGATGCCCAGGTTGATGGTGGGGTAGCCGTGCTCCTGGATGGTGGCCAGCAGGGTGGAGCGGTTGCTGTCCCTGATCTTCCCAGGATGGAGGTCGTCTTCTGGGTTCAGCAGCTACCAGGACACATGGGGAGGAATTAAACATTAGAAACACTACTTATACATTCAACATCCGTCGTCTTTTAGGGTCAGTGTAAGTATATTTGGCTTTATCATTATTCAGGAAACGATTTTATCTCTTTTGGTGGCAGTGAGTCTGATGGGCGTAGAAAAAATGAATAGAAAAAATTCAGCTAGACAGGTAGGTTTAAACTCTTGTTGGCAAACATCGCTTCTATTATATTATTACTATATTTAGCTAGTACTTGGCACTAGGACAATAAAGGGATTTCCAGAAAGTGCCAGTGTGAAGTTTGAAAGGATCATTCTGTGTAGCTTGTGCTTTTAGATAGTGCTGGAATAATTAATCGATTAGTCGACCAACAGAAAAGTAATCGGCATTCATGTTAACATTTAGTTCATTGCTATATTATTAATAAAAAAAGGCCATTGATTGATGATTCTGCATCTGGCTTTTCAGATGGATTTTGAACTTTTTACAAGACAATAATTACTTTGAAGATGTTCCCTTTGGCTCTGGGAACTTAGTGGTAGATAATGTCTACTGTTTTGTATCATATTTTACCAGTGACTAATCGATTAATTGTAAAAAAAAGAATCAATTGATTATAAACATGGAATGAATATTGAAAGTAATCACAGGCTGCAGCATAACATTCAGACAAATCCAAGAAAAGAAAATGTTAAATCAATGATTTGCAGCCTTTGTAGGAACAACTGCATTATAGTGTGATATGTAATAGCATAATGTATGTCCTTTATTTGCATTCATACATTTTGACCTCCCTACTTTACATGGTAGAACTACAAATCTGAACTTGCCGTTTGTTTGAGGAAAAGGAAAACAAGCATTGCTCAATCTTACAGATATTAAAGAAAAGCAACACCACAAATGAACATGCATCTAGTTCAGCAGGTTCACAGTGGCTTTATGGGCAGACAAGCTGCATACTTTCAGTTGTAAATGCCAGCTCTGCACAGATATTCAGTTTCACCCAAATTCGACATGGTCAATTTAACATTGCTGCAGGTAGAGAGTGTTAATGCAAGACACATCCTCTATATAATCAGACTTGCTCAAGGAAGGGGGAGATGAGGACAATAGCACTTCATATTTGGAATGTGGCCATGGAGTAGGTTACTCACGACTGATTACACAATTCAGACATATCTGCACAGTGCCGAGAACAAGGTGTTATGGGTATCTAGAGTCTGCTGAGGATCTCCATGAAAGTTACACACCCAATGAAATTTAAACTGCACCATCAGTCACACAGAGAATGCACAAATATGATCCCAGCGTTAAAAGGAAACCACCTGGTCACAGATAAACACATCGTTCACAACTGAAAGCACACATGAATCGGCTGAGTGCGCATTCAGCTCTGAATGTTGTTCTGGTGTCCGCAGTCAAAGCAAACAATGTTGATTGTGCATAAATATGAACGAGGTGTGCTGTCAGAGAAGATGGCACGTTGGAGTTACCTTTAGAAGCTGAGGCTGAAGCTTTTTGGCAAATACAGATACAGTGTGTGAGTGCCAAGGCGTAACATTTCCTGAATTGAATTAAACATTTCAAGACGAAAACATGCACGTTTCTCCTAACCCTCTTACCTCATTTCCTGTGGACATGACGGCCACCACGGGGAATTTCTGCACCTCCACCTCTGTGACTCCCACAGTGGCCAGGAGACCAATCTCAGACGGGCCCATGTGGGTTCCCTTAGCAAGCACACACTCCCCCCGCTTAATGTCATGACCAATGGGCCTATAACAAGGAAGCAAAGTGGATCGTTTAGAGGGAAAGAGAGAGAGAAAGAAAGACTGCACTATGTTAAAACATGTATTATTAGTAAAAATGTAACATAAATACAATTCTGGAGACATTTAGTGGATTTGACCCTACAAAAGGACCATTAGCAACTACATTTCATATCCAGTGTTGAATGCTTCCGAGTTGTTGCATTTCTTTTGTTAAACATGGTCCTAAACTAATCGGGACTTTTCTCCATTCTTTATTCTTTGTTCACTGTGGATGCATTCAGAAAAAACTGCGGTTTCTCCAAGAATTAAAAGTAAAACGGGGCGATCAATCGATAGACACAATATTTCTTTGTGGGTAAAGTATTCCTTTAGGTATATATTTTTATAAAATCCTAATGATCATATGAAAACATCTAATATAATCTCAATTTTTCAGTATGAAAGTGCTTCTTATTTTATTTTTTATATTTATTTATTTTTTGATAGTGCTTCTTATAAGAGGCACTTAACAATACTAACCAACACAATAACACACTGACCTGATGTCCTGCCCCGGGCGAGCCTGGACGAGGATTCGTACTTCCAACTCTTCTGTGCCCTGAAAGACAAACCAGCCATCAGATCTATCAAAAGGAACACAACCAACTATACAAGCCCAAATTCATTGTGTATTGTGCTAATCTTTGGGCTTAACCTATTCTCAGTGACATCTAAAACTATTATAATCCATTTTCAGCTGCTATGGCATTGGTATAGAGACTCTAAATAGTATCTGCATTTGTTGGTGAATGTAAAACACAAGCCAGTGATGCCCTTTATGATGGGCTGCATTAACCACAATTTGGGCGTCTTCCTGCCTCTTCATTGGAGGAAAGAGCAGAAGTCAGACTCACGTCTTCAGACTCGCGGAGCAGCTCGGTGTCTTCCACCTGCACTACAGCGTCGGCCCCGCATGGGATGGGGGCCCCCGTCGTCACCCTCATCACCTGGCCGGGCATCACTGTGTGGGTGGGCTGCAGAGACACACAGAACAAAGCATTATGGTTTATCCTTTAACTTATAGCATATCATTTCATTTTTTGAAGCATGTGTTCTGATTTTCTTCAATATGAGAAGTGGAGGTAGTCAATAAATCTCTGTAGCCTGCTCTTGTCTCAGAGGTTTAATCTGTTTTATAGTTTGGCAGGACTTTTACTTTTTTTGCCACGCTTTGGGGCAAAGGGCTTTTCATCTCTGCTAAGGGAACACACTGGTGAGCAATTACAGCTGGCCAAGGCGTGAGGTGAAGGACAAAAGTGAAGTACTTTATTTTCATACACAGGTTGTGTGGGTGTTTGCGTGACAGGGACTGTGTGTGTGTGTGTGTGTGTTGGACTTTTTTTGTGAGCTAGAGAAAGCATGTGTGTCTAAATTGTCAACGTGGGCGCGGACCTGCTCTCCAGCTTGGGACTCTCCGATGATGAAGCGGTCGCCTGGGCCGTCAGCCGCTAAAATAAAAGAAAGATTTAATAGCATTACACACATGTACAGCTAAAAACGTGTGTGTGTGTGGTAGGAGTGTGCCATTACGTTGAGTCCTTTTATTTCAGTGGGAAAAAGAATGAACAAATCGGAGGAGAAGGAGAGAGAGAGATTTGATGTTGTCTAATTAAACATAATAATGAAAATACACACAGTAATGTCAACGCTTGAAGATCACAGAACCTTTGCATTATGCACTTTTTTATTGAATTCCTTTCCTTCAACCTATTTGTTCTGCTCTTTTACAGACTAAACACACAGGAACAAGAATGAAAACTTATGATGAAACACTAAAAAACACAATTCAAATTTAAATTCCTCCTAAATATTGCGAAATGTCCTTGGAGAGTGAAATATGTGACATGAATATAGGATTACATGCTTCCACAATGGTAATAAAATACAAGTCTCGCACTGTTTCCCTTTTGAAACACTTGGAAAGACCAAGTGGACAAACAAAATCTGTTATTGTTGTGATTTTTCAGAAATTGACACAATCCAAATGAGAGTTTTCCAACTCATGGATCCAAATCTGGGGGTTGAGAAAAAAATATTGTGCTCTGGTGAAACTACTAGGTTATTGGGTCCTACCGTACACAAAGCCTAGGCTCTAAAATCTCTTAAATCTACACATGTAAACCTCGGCAGGCGCCAGGCCCTTAGGACAAGATTCATTTCATCCAGAGAGACCTGTGGTGCTCTGCTCCTCCATCAGCAAGAGCCAACAGCAGATGTTACATGCAAGAGTTTCTGAGCTGCCTGGAGCTAGCAAGCTGCCACCCTGCTCTCCAGGTTAACAGGCCCTCGATGCTTTAAGGATGCTTAGCAACTGTACGAATTCAACTATGACTGGACGCTGCAGGGGAAAAAACCCTGTCTCTCTTGCCACTTATCTCCACCTGGCAGCTATGGAGGACAGCCCCCTCCATGTCCCACAATGCAATGCCTTATTCTCCCCTCAGCTCACGTTGGCAGAAGAAGCCCTCACAGGCTCCTGAGGCTGTTCTCCACTGTGTCCTGCTCCTCTCTAACCAGCACCATCAGTGCATTTGTACAGGAGGAGAGACACTGGGTAGTTCTCCAGCTTTATCTATGTTGTTACTTCTGAAGAAGCTGAAGCTGGATTAGGTTCACCAGTGATTGGTTACTTGAGTGTTAGGTCACATGTCAGGACCGTGTTTCATGCTACCCTCTATTATCCTTAAGTTAAATTATTCTCTTCATTAGATCTAGGACCAATTGTATTTCAGTGGTGTGTTACATTTCAGCATACACTAGTAAACTTACAATATAACAAGACAAGATTAAACATATTTGGTTCCAATGTGTTTCATAACTTTTTCTCCAGTTAATTAGGCATTAAAAATACCTTAAAACGGCTTATTGTTGAATGAAACATTGTGTTTTATATTTTAATTTAGAGAACCGTCATTGTATCAAATGAGCAGGACATCACAACAATCTGTATATTGTATTTACTTATAAGAAAAAAAAGGATTTATAATAGTTTTTACAACAGATATAGAATATACATTTTTATATTCTCTGATTTTAATTTATTTTACTCTATATCGATGGACCATTGCACACCAAAGCAAATGTATTGGCGGACTTCATTTACTTTATTTATTTTTACGGCCCTTAAAGTGCTTTACACATAAATGTATTATATGTGAAAACCTTCCTTGGCAATAAAACTAATTATTATTTTGATTCTGAAATAAACAAAAAAAGACTACATTTGTTTGTGGCGGGGCAATTTCTAAAGATTTGAAATTCCAGGCAGATTTTCTGGCTAACCGAGACTCCTCTGCTACTAAAAACGACTAGTATCAGCACATCTTGGTCTACATTATTTCAGCAGAACTCAGAACTGACCCCAATGCCAAATCTGAGACTGACGGGGACATATTTCAAATCAGCTGGCACAATATATACGGTTCTTACCTCTCACAGCATAACCATCCTTGACAGAGGCAGGGAAGGGTGGCAGGTTGTCTTTGGCATAAACGTCCTGAGCCAGGACTCGACCCATCCCATCTGTGGGAGGGGGGAAGAAGGGGAAGAGGGGGGAGAGGGGGGAGGACATGAGTATGAGAAGGGGAGGAGAAGCTGGGACCGTGCTTCTGATTCAGATCGAGATACAGCGTGGCATATGTGCGAGAGGTGTGTGTGTGTGTGTGTATATATGTGTGTGTGTTTTAAGAGAGACAGAGTGGGACACCACACGCACAAACACACACACACACACACACACACACACACACACACACACACACACACACACACACACACACACACACACACACACGCACATAGAGACACACACACACACACACATGCAAACCCACACACACACACACACACACACACACACACACACACCATTTCTGTTTCAGCGTCACTAATTCACATACAACAAGTGCTGCTATCCAAATCCCAAAAAAAAGCCAGACAACTTAAGAACACCTGTGTAGGCAGAACAGAGACTCTGCATATAGACAATAGCTCAGAGAGAGTGAGGGAAGGAAGGAGAGAAAGATGGAGGAAACAGAGGCAGAGTGGGTGGAGGAGAGAAATCCTGACACTAGAAATACCTTAAGCTGCTATGTGGCTATCTATAGCATTTCTCAGCGCCTTTATGCTGTGATTATGTGGGAGTTAATATGGAGATCTAAGCTTTGATATCAATGAAAATAATGTGCATGTACACCCACACACATGCATACACACATCATGTCAAAGACAGTCATAACGAGTGGTTGTAAATGATATATCGACGTTGTAGAAGAAGACACACATGACTATTTGTGTCCAATCCTCACAGCTTGTTTTTCTTTAAGTCAACAGCATTTCACCTGTGTGTATTTTCGAGCTACTCCGTCCAAGCTGCTGTTCAGACAACGTGTTCAAACCAGTGTGTTGAAGCAGAGGATTGACTAAAAATAGAACAGAGGTTTTACTGAAGCTGAAATATGTGTTTGATCAGATGCTTTGAGAAACATCACATGAAGAAGGGCCAAGGGTTTTAAAAGGGTTTCATAACGGTGAATACATCTATGGACTTTGTGACATAACTCCTCCACATAACATGCTGGTAAAAACAATATGACATTTTAGAAGACTGTGAAAGTATATGCATGTGAACGAGGGAGGCGTGTGGTGCAGTGGGTTGTGCGTTGGTGTTGGGATCAGGGGGTCACAGGTTCAAACCCCACTGCAGTCAGCATGTCGTTGTGTCCCTGAGACACTTCACCCCAAATTGCTCCTGTGAGGATTGTCCACAGTATTGAGTATGTAAGTCGCTTTGGATAAAAGGTAACAAGTGACATGTAATGTAATGAACCGGCACACACACATTTTGGGAAATATGCTTATTGCCCATTTCCCATGTCTAAATGGTGCTTTTGCATTTAGTGTACAGACATGAGAGTGGTATTAATCTTCTATTCTTGTTTTCGTTAAGAAAATCAAAGTGTATTTCCAAGAAATGTAATGTTTTATGTGACTGGACAGATTTGAGGTATTTAGCATTACACTGTGTTATTGTTCTTTAATTATATTACCCAACAAAACCTCCTGAAGGATACAACAGTAAAAGAGTGGCATTCAATACTGAATAATATATAAAAAAGAACATTATGATGATGTAATAAGAGATACGTTAAATGCAAAAAAGCAGCTTAAGCACCAATGCATGTATAAACACATGCACACACTCCCAAGCACACATCCATGCACACCTCTCTAAATCCAGCAGGGGAGCTGCTCCAGCTGTTGTCTCTCTAAATATTTCATCTCTCATATCCCATCTTCCTCTCCTCCTCTCCCCACTGCCTTCCTCCCAGCTGTGCTCCTGCAAATCCTACAACTCTCTCCCCTCTCAAGGAACATGAAACATGACTTTACACCCGGGAGAAGAAAGAGAGTTCCTTCTACCATCATTGATCTAGACGTCATGTGTGCCGCCGCAGGGTGTTCGTGCCCCCAATCTGTGCTACCCCTTCTTCTGAGATGAATTAAAGAGTGTGTGTCTCCGTCTCTGGCCCTCAGCCTGGCTCGGTGTCACTGAGGCCACGCTGCCAGAAGGCTGACGAGACCCACGGGGGCTAAACTAACTTCCCTGTGTATGTTTGTATCTGTTTAGACATGCAATTCATAAAACAGAATATACCTACAGAGATACATTAAGCAATCAATTCCATCTTGAATGAGGCTATGAATGACTGAATACTGTTTCCATTTTCTGTCACTTTATTCTATTCTAGTTAAAATATGTGTGTTCTATGTGTGTTTAGTGGCTGCCATGCACTTTTTATTGTGCAACCCTGTGTGTTAAAATGACTAATTAAGGAAACCTGTGGATTATTATAAAAAGTATACAAATTTAACCTGCAACAAAACCGTGTGATCAAAAAATAATACAAATATGTGTAAATCATATTTCCATTTTCAAACTGGATGAGAGTGAACTAAAGCATTTGTAGACTTTTAAACTAAAGAGACACTAAAATGCTTATTCTGTTGAATATTCTCTGTTTGGTTTGTCACTAAATGCGACCCTTTCCACATACACATGTCCATATTTTTATTTATATCAATTAAAGCGTCATTAAAGACACTCTGTTCCATGAACTTTCTCAACAAAAGCAAACAACGAAGAGACGCCCAATGCAGCATTTAAAATAGTCTTGTCAATGTTGTGCAGCAGCAAATGCAAATAAAATATGAATCTTAAGGAATTGGTTGCATTTTATTAGCCGTGTAGCCAAGAACAGTTATGTGTGCGAGCATTTTGCTGTCAGTGTGAGTGACACCAAGGCATGCAGACTGCTGATTCAGCGAGGAGTCCAGTTGTGGACAGAGAGAGTTTAAAAGCTGTCATGTGAACTTAGCGAGTGTGTGTTGCTGCATCCATCTGAAAGGTGCGACACATCGACATCCCAGCATGCCGAGCGGCTGCTGTCAGCAGACATCATGGGAAAGGGAACTGGAAATGCCACGGGGCAGGTGAACTATTTACGACGTAAAACTGTCCTCCTCACCTCTGTAGTTGATGATCTCAGTGCCCAGGACGGCGGTCATCTCCAGCACAGTGATGAAGGCCTTGTCCATGGAGGTGAGGGGGAAGGGGGACATGCGGTGCCTCCGGGCCACCTTGGTGATGTCCACTGCACTGTGACCTGGGGAGACAGGAGACATTACACACACTGTCAAAAAATCACAAAACAGGAACATTATAACTGTTCAAAATGACTCACATTCAACATAAGCATGCAGTACAGTGTAGACCCTGACATATATTGGGAGGGTATCAATATTTGAGAAAATCTGATCACAGAATATAAACTTATATTCTTTTTTTAAGCACATTACATTTTTAATATCGGGCATCTGAAATAGTTTTGACCAAGATTGCTTCCAAATGACCTCAAAAATATATTTGATGTACCGGAATTTAATGAAACTTATCCACTGACATTATGACAAAGTTTTAATTATCTTCAGCGCAATAATACAGAGAAATACATTCCATACTTAAACTTCACTTTATGAATGGTTATCATTGTTCCCAATCATTTGCAGGTTTGGATAAAACTAATGCACACGCTATGGACATTAGTTTTTATTTTAAGGACACTAAAGTGTGTCAACATTTACACATATACACACACATTTGGATAAGAAGTCTAAATGTAGTGCATTCGTTAGAAAACCGAATGATTTCAGACATAGCTCCAAACCCCAAGCTTTGAACGGAAAAAGCCCAGCCTAAATCAGAGAACACGCTCCCCTTTTAAGCATTTTAATTCTTAAATAAGACGGTTTGAAAGTTAAGAGGAAGATAGAGCGGAGGGAGGGAACTCTGCAGGGAATCAATCCAGAGACAGTGCAGCCTCCAAAGGCAAGGAACTGAACCACTCAACTATCTCTGGAGACAGAATCTATATTTTAGGAATTTTCTTTTGGCCCAAGAGCTACAAAAAAAGTTTTTAAAAATCTACTAAGAGATCAGAACTGATTTGGGCGCATTGGGTTTGCGTCTGCAGCAGAGGTCGAATTTGAAGGGATATGATAATGCACACATGCAAAATAAACACATTTAGAAATAAATATATGGACTCATGTATTCCTCCAGTGCATGTGTGCAATTACACAACTGAAACACCATGAGGTGAAGAGATAGTCCTGTTTGTTTGCAGAATGTGTGGAACCAGCAGGATGGTAGAGGTGCTCGACAGCAGCTATGTTGGCCTAATAATAACTCTCTAATAATTCCAAAGGTAAAAGGAACAAAGCAAGGTGTAACTAATATGTAATCTGCTCTCTCTCTCCCCCCTTCTCTCTGTATCTTGCTCTCCCTCTGCCTCACTGCCTCACAGCGAAGAATAGACGCTGTGCTTTGATTTCCCTTGACCCAATTTCTCTCCTTTAAACATACACTTACGCTTCAGCAGCATATTCTGATGCTCAACATGAGGCTTAACAACCTCTGGCAAAACACCGCGCATGCACGCACGCACGCACACACACACACACACACACACACACACACA